GTGTACGCAGATATGATTAAGCCTTCAAGTGCTCAAAACTGTTAATGGTGGAGGGGCAGGAGACATTAACATGCCATTCAATCAGTATAACCATGAACCCAGCAGACCAATCCAAGAGTGTTTCAATAACCACCAAATGTGTTGTGAATTATGGAGCAAGACCAGTCAACTAGATCCTCCCAGTATATGGCTTAATAACCATAGCCTGAAATGCTGACTTATAAGCGATGCCTTGTGTCACAATTAAATACTCACTTTAGATCTGAACTGCAGTTTGCATCGTTTTGCCAATTCACTGGATGTATCTGCAGCAGCTGTAGTTGTCCGCTTCTTGGATTTCTCATCATAGGTAGGTGTGCCAAGGTCCATATCTGTCTCAGGCCCTCCAAGAACTGGGGCATTTCCATCCCAGCTAGGCATATCCCACTGGGTTTGTCTACAAACAAATGAAGGTAGTAAATCACACTGACAAACAGGAACACAATTCAGACTCCAGACCATTCAAATAATTTTGCCGTTTTCTGGATATTTTTCTTCACCAATTTCAAGAGGTCCTCTGACCATAACCTGTATTCATCTATTCAGACCATTTTTCCATGATAACATTAACTATTCAAATTCTACTATATGTCTGACAAGGTTGTAGCTAAAACAATTTAGTGATGGCTGTTTTCATGCCGAATGACTGAGCATGTGGGACAGAAGCTGTAGGAATGATGGGTGGGCCCACTGAGTACATCTACATACATTTCGACATGTCTCATACCGGTACATGTACCTGCCAACACTGAAGAGTCAGAAATCAAAATACATTTTACGAGTCCACAGTCAAATTAGCAGCCACGTAAGAGAAGCAATTTACATGTACATGTGAAACATTGCCATTTTGATGTTGCAAATACTGTCCACCTTTTGTTTTGCAAACACTGCCCTCTTTTTCTGCAAATAGTTGCCACTTCTCTCCAAACAGTGGCCTCTTTTTCTGAAAACAGCAGCCTCTTTTTCTGCAAATAGCAGGCCTTTTTGCCGAGATGTTTTTAATACTTCCCTTTTCTATTGAAATAGGAACATTCAGATATTATGCAGTCTGAAAACTTGGGACAATGCAAAGTATGTAGGAATGCTTGGCACTTGGCAAGTATGCATGTCTTACATAATAAAAAAGAAGAATGTAAGACAATGTCATATTTCAGAGGTTTTAGCTTTTTTTGCTTTGTCATACCGGTAACTTCCAAATCACCATAACGTGCAGCAAAATGTGTGGTTAGCTGGTGAGCTTCATCATCCAATGTGCAAGAGGATGATTTGGAATGCACAAATAGTTACAACCCTGATAGGTATAAGTATAATTTAAAAATTACAAAACATTTAGTTCACTGGAAACTATATAGTTAAGGAAAATGGTATTTTTGAAGTGACACCTACAACTGATTAACCGCAAAAACCCCATTTAAAGACGTTTAATTTACAGACCCACTCTTCGCAAAACTATAAAAAAATGGTTAATGAGCACAAGCAACTTAAAACCTGCTTACTGCAATTAAAATTTACTGGAGAGATAGCTATTTATAAGTATGTCAATGACGTGACAGACTGAATGTTCTATTCCAAGAGGCGGAGTGGAATTGACCATCCAATCAGATGAAAACTACAGTGTATTTGTTTTCCTAGCACATGTGAGAAATTCATTATTTCCCACCATACCTGAATATCTCCTCTGTGTGAACAAGACACTGTATATGGTTTCTCAGTCTAAAGTCACAACATGAAGTTCCCATGTTCTGAATTAGTCAATGCTTTGAAGGACATTCTCATGTCTTGCAAAATGCTCTCATATTTGACAATGAAATTTGTTTCTTTCTTGTAAGTATAACTTAAGCATTCAGAAAATTCTTCATCAGTTAGAAGACAAACAAGACAGAACACTGTTTTCTACTTTTTGGCATTGCCCACTATTCTGACATTGTATGAAGAGAAGTAACCATTTCTACCATGTGCAAAATGATAAATGACAAGTGGTCATTGATTGAAAGAATGAGTTACAGTGATTTTCAGAATGTAGGTCGAGACTTATACGTTATTTCTCATGCTGAAAAATGTCCCTGTGGGTTATACTTTGGGTGGCTTATACACAGAGATGCTAACCTCTTGACACCAAAAAACAGACTGAATATCCTATAGAATTCAGATTTTGGAGAGAAAAATCAGATTTTCAAAAAACTTGATAGTACCACTTGCCTCTTGGCGCCAGTCCAGTAAAAATGTTTCTTTCATATAAAGAGAAAATTTTGAAGCATCAGTAATAATTCTTGTGATGCAAAAAGGGTGTTTAAATGCAGTGAAAAAATGGTACAACCTAAATTGCTGGCAAATTTTGGGCTAATCAGAATTTGATTGAAGCCAGAAGTGAGAAAAATTACAGTATAGACTTGCATTACACTCATGGAAATATAAGCCACATTCCTGTTAGCTGACATTATAAAATCAATTACACGAAAAACAAGTGTTGCGCCCTATTTAAAAAAATCAAACGAATTGCAATATGTGACAAGATTTTTTATCAACTATTTAGGATTTGATTAATAATGAAATCAGATCACTCCACAGAAAATGTTTTGTAGTAATAATAAATGTTCTCATCAGTCTCATGAAATTTCAATGGAAGTTTATTTCTTTCAGTCATTTTCTATTGAGGCATAACACTATCAAATTTCACATCACTGTCCACAGCAAATGGTCACTTGCTGATTCAGTGTTTATTTTTGTTGTATGTTGAAGCAGCCTGTTTGCATCTGTGCAAAAGTTAGTCATCAAAGTCTCTGCTCTTATGACTGATAAATCTGCCTGCTGTTTAATCATCATGGCAATACTAGTCTGCCTTCATGGGTAGAAGCAGCATGACGATGCTTGATCCTGCCGATGTGCAGTTGTATATCTTTTAACCCTCCATGAGCAATGCTGAAATCGCAACCACAAATTTCAAACTTCACAGTATGAGTAGCCTTTTTAGACGGCACAATATGCAGCCACTTTTCCGTGTATTCCTCTTGTATGACTGTTTTCTAGCCTTCGATGTAATGGTCAAAGTTCAATGTTATTGAGCTCAAGGTGACCAACGTTGTTTATATAACAGATCAGCACATGGCAACATAAACATGTGCACGCACACGATGAATTGCTGCGCAGTCGATTCTACCACACACAGGAACAGAGTAATCCAAATATGGTGAGGCATTACACATTCATTAGTATCTGTCTGATCAGCGCGTTGACAAATGACATCATGAAATTTCTGTTCACTTCTGGGTGTGTGTAACTCTATGGCAAATGACCACTTTATTTCAACAAGAAAATATTTATGAACAGTAAGAAAAAGAAAATTTGCACAAGATCACATCGGGCTGGGTCTTATTTACGCATAGTTCATGTATACTGTACATGTAGTGGCCGTCGTGCTAGCTTGCGGTGGCCATAATGTACATGTACAGTGCTGTACACTTCCACAGCTAGCTGCACGCTTCGATATCGCATTACTGTCGATTCCGTGTTGCCACTGTCTGAATGTAGGCTCCTTGTTCAACGTTGTTGGAAA